AGCCAGCGGGAAAGCGAGGCGGTGTTGCTGGCTGTCCCTCCCGGACCCCCGGCTGTGTTCTTCCTCCCCTGCAAGGAGCTGCAACCCCTCCAGTGCTAGGAGGCAGCGTATTAGGAAGGAATGGTTTGAAACATCTGCCAGAATACAGAAATACATTTAAGGAAGGAAGGAAGGAAGGTTTCCTAGAGAAACTGGGTGTCCCAAGACCATCAGAGTAACCCCTTAGTGTACCTGCCTGCGCAGTGACCCCAGGTGCTCCGTCTTCTATACTTTCCGTGTCTGTCACCTAAGTTTGTTGCTTGTTTGTTTGTGGTTTTTTTTCTTTTAAAAGAAACTCTTCTGAGCCAAAAATGCAACATTTCATGAGTCGTATAAAGTGATGCACGTGTGAATCAGGTAATCACGACCTGTGTGCTGGCTGGTCCTCTGCCTGCAAACGGGATGCATGAAAGCAGAGCTCTTTGTTTCAGTGGGCTGTGAATTTGTGTTCTCCCCTCTGCGTGGCAGCTGTTTGCTGGGAAAAGCTCTGGATATGTGGCAGTCGGGTAGCCTGCTCCTTAAGCGAAAAATGTGAGAAGTATTAAAAAATAAAACCGCTTTTCTTTTTAGTTGGCAGGATCTAGCTGAGATTAGAGGCTGTTGTGTTTAGCTGTGGTCACATATATGAGTTTGTCCATACTTTGAAGAGCTTGAATTTAAGTTGTTATGCTAAAGAATAAAAAAAAACAGAGCTGTTGTCCCTCTTGTACAGACAGGACACTTGGGCTCAGAGAAATGCAGTGACAGCTTTAGCCTCCTGCTGTCAATCTGTGGCATGCACTGGCACTGAACCTTTAGCCACTGCCTATCTGTTTAACCATGGGATTATCTCTTGCTTTAGTTGCCTCTGTTAGGCAGCGTTAAGTCTTATTCCTGTTTCTGACACCAGAGAAAGTTTTAAAAAGTTTGCTTTTCAAAACATGGCCTTGAATGCAATATTTAAAAGCTTGTTGTGAACTTTGTGAGTTGAGAAGGAAGGACTGTCTTTGTCTGGTGATTGTTTTTGATGTGCAACATAAGGTATTTTTCTCTACTTTATCTCTGCTGCAGGACAGCTGCTTAGCACAAGCTGATTTGCCCTATACAGCTGTTACGTACTTCACAGTAACTGTGGCTGACACAGTGAACGTGCGCGTCCAATTCCAAAATCTGTCTGAGAAAATAGGTTATATCCACTGTTTGCTTTTGATTAATGAAGTAGGAAAAACAGATAACATATAATCCTAAAGCTGTTAATAAAGAGAAAGAGACTACCTGTGATACACAACTGTGATTAGGGGGATGTTGAAGACTTTAGGCTCAAAAGCAGAGAATTGTGGTGTTTGTGCAGAGTTTTTGAATACATAGGCCACATTGCAATTCTCTAGTGCTTTATACATTTGTGTTGTGTAGATAAAAATTACTTAATTAGCAGTATTTTTAGTGAAGTGATGATTTGAGCTTTCAGTTATGTTTTCACACAAGCAGTGCAAGTGTTTTGTTAGTCTGTAAATGACTCAAGATTAAACTAATTTGTGTATGATGACAAGAAATTATAGTTTATTAATACATTTTTGGTTGTACAGGGTGAATGGGTTATAGAGAACAAAACTTAACTTCATTTTTTTACAACTTTGCAATCAGAGAAGATTGATAAGATTGTATATAAATTTTATGAAGAGTGAGAACCCTAACTTGACAGCATTTTTTTAAATTTAACTTAGTATATGAGAAGAAATAATTCCTCCCAGTTTTTTCTATGGGGGGAAAAAACCTCTCTCTTTTTTTTCTCTTTTTTTCTCTTTTTAAATTAAGTGTAAACTTACAGAACATGCATCAGGTTGCAGATAGGGTTGTTGTAGAGGAAAGAGTAGTAGTCTTTTCTGGACAATAGAAATTTCCATAATTCCATAGTTTATAATGAATTATTATGTTTTTAACAGTTTAGTTGAGCTGGAAGGGTAAGTGATGGAAACTAAGAGAGAGAATGAATTTTGAGGACTTGCAAGGTCCTTTGGCAACTGGGCAGTGTGGGCTGGTTCTAACTACGAGAGCAGCTTGAGATGATGACAGATGTGAACTGTAGGAGTGACAAAGGGGACTTAAAAAACAAAATACGTGAAATTCATGAGGCAGTAGCTGGGGAGTAGTAGAAGTTGAAATTAGACAGAAGAAGATTTGTACATGTGAGACTCAGGACAAAGAACGGATTTTATTTTATTAGAAAGAAAAAAGAGGGAAAAAAAAGACCAGCAGCTAGTAAAATTACTAAACTGGCAAATTAGTATGTTTAGAACAGCAAACGAGACTTTAGCAGTGGGTTCTCTTTTTATTTAGTTGACTGTAGATAGAAGGTAGTAAATGCTGAAGGAAAGGGCAAGAGACCTAAAATATAGGATAGGAAATAGACGGTGGGTGTGTGAAAATATTGTAGAAGAGTGGTGATGCACTGAGGTTATCTGTTAACTTAGTAAACAACTCTGAAAGGAATTCTTCATTCAAAAATAGTTTGGACACATTAATCTGCTAATCCTTGTGATATTTTATGAAGTAGGTGTCATGACAGGTAGTAAACACCGGAGGAGAGTGGAATTAATGTCTAAGCCCTAGCAAGCAGTAAAATTTATCACAATTAAGAACATCTAATAACTGCTGCTAGCTTATTTACTGGCATTTTTTGTAACACAGCTAAAATATGGGTCCAGTAACCAATCTTTATTCCTGAGGTCTTGTCTACCATGGGCTTGAATGGGTAATGTCATGCAAGTAATCCCTTTGGATTTAGTGGAATTGTATGTTGACAGCAAGTGTTGCAGGGCCCAAAGCCAGCATGTTGAATCCTCTTGCATAATAACTGAAATAGTTTGAAAATTGAGACATCAGAGCTTTTCACAGTAACGGAGATATTAAACTAAAGCAGCTATATTTTTTCTAATTTAGTTGGTATATACCGAAAGCAATGTGTGAAGCTGCCAAATACCATTTTCCATCCTTAGAGAAATAAAAACTAGGCACAATAGGACATATCACACAAATTGCAGTAGCAATACTTTACGGAATAATTTTGAGCATTTAGAAGTCTTTCTAACTTCAACTGGCATATTTCTGTTTTTCATTTCTCTAAGGAAGTTATAACTCTGCTGAAGCTTAGGAAAATCTTCAATGTTACGGGCTTAAACAACCATACAAAACTTTTGTCTTTACAGAAATCCAAAATTCTTGTCTTGGAAAACTGCAAGTATTTTTGGCAGATTCTAAACCATTCTGTTAATTGGACTTGCTCATGGCAAAATAAAATTCAAGACGTGAAGGTTTCTTTCCTTTTCCGTGTTCCAAAGTCATCCATGAAGAAAATAGCTACTGCTGCAAAATGTTCTTGTCAAGGCTGTCACCCCACGATGAGAAAAATTACTGGGTTTAATTAAATTTTTAAAATATTTTTACATACGTCGTGGTCATATCAGCTTTTTCTGAAGATCCCAGTACATTATTACTCAGATGAACTCTGACTACATTTTTTTCTTGACGAAGGCAAACAGAATCTTTGTTTCTGTTATTCCTAGAAAGATACCAGAATTGTCCCCTAAATATATTTACAGTGTCACTCATGAGCATGAAATTATTTGCTTACTCATAAAGGGAAACACTGGCATATGGTACTTTTTTCTGTTTGCTCCTTATCTTTCTAAATTCAGTTGCTACATGGGTATTTTCCTGTGTCTGTCAAACTGGGATTTCTTTCATTTTTGCATTGCCCCTTTCTTCCCACACTATACTTATTTTTTGGTTGTTATTTGATTATACAGCAGATGTAGCTCTAACTGAATTGTTTCTCAACCATGTTTTTCTTGGGGTGCGGGGCATTAAGGAGTTGAGCATAAATACTAGTTTGACGCTTTGATCTTATAGCACTGTCTAACACAGTGAATATACCATGCTCCCAGCACTGGGAGGATTGAGGGTAGAGTTTGCAGATAAATGAAGAAATAGATCGCATGGATTGTTCAGTGTTAGAGCCCTTACGGTTCTTTCACTAGCCAGATGAGGAGGAATACTGCATCTGAACTCAGCTTTGATGAGCTCACAGCTGCAAGAAAAAGTGGTTATCCCATATTTAGTGGTTACCATACATCCTTAGATATTAGCTGAACCTAAGAAATAAGCTTATTCTTAAGAAAAAGGTTCTTCTAAGAATAACTTACATTTGCTAGAAGAGTTTAACTTGCTTTTTCTTTATACAAAACAAAACCTGAGAATTTCTGCATCCCTACTTGCTAAATAGTGGCTTTCTGTTAACAATTTACTCTTTCCAAGAAGTTAATGACATGTCTTTTGCTTTTGTCTTTCAGATTTCCGTATGTGGTCAAGTAGATGTGTTTATTTCAGCCTTAAAATTGCTGATGCCAATGCTTGCTATGGCATCTGTGGCTTCACCGGTTATATTTAAGGAGTTTTGTCCCTTATATTATCTTCTCAATGCCATTCCTACAAAGGTCCAAAAAGGCTTTCGCTCTATAGTGGTATACCTCACAGCACTTGATACCAATGGAGACTACATTGCTGTGGGGAGCAGCATTGGAATGCTTTATCTCTACTGCAGACATTTAAACCAGATGAAAAAATATAATTTTGAGGTAAATACTAACTTTAACTCTTATCTCTTCTAATGAAGCTGGGTTGCTCAGAATTGAGCTGCTGTTTGTCTCTCATTAACTTTGCGAGTTTTATGTGTGGTTTGTTTCAACAGGGGAAGTGTGAATCTATTACTTTTGTAAAGCTGCTGAGTTGTTTCGATGATCTAGTTGCTGTTGGTACAGCCTCAGGTCGGGTTGCAGTTTTTCAGCTTGTGTCTTCATTACCTGGAAGAAATAAACAGGTAAATCTTTGCATTTGGCTAAACTTCTGTGAGGTTTAGTATGGCAAATCCTAGCAGAGTGTTACTGTGATTCTTTATAATACTGAAAACCAGAGAATTTTGCCTGATGAAATATCTGTGAATGTGTTTTAGACTTCATATATTAAGCTTATAAAAGCAATAATCTTAAAGCATGCTTTTCATTACAAAACATATATTTAATCAAAAAAGCTTTTGAGAAATTCCTCATTTGTGATAACAGGCTGAGCTATTTGGTGGTGCGTTTTTTGATTGTTTGTTTAGTTTTTTTGTGCTAAATAAAAATTAGAATGACCTGCACTTTTGTACTTGATCTCCAATTTATCAGTCAGAGTCACTGAATAGGCTTTGTGTCTCCATTTTCTCTTCCTCTCATTCTTGTGTTGCTTTGGTATTGTTTCACAGCTTCGGAGATTTGACGTTGCTGGTATCCACAAAAGTAGCATTACAGCTTTAGCTTGGAGTCCCAATGGAATGAAATTATTCTCTGGAGATGACAAAGGGAAGATTGTCTACTCTGCCCTAGACCTAGACCAGGTGAGCATTTATTATAGAGACCTTAATTCCCATTTACAATTTTCGTAAAGAATGCTTGTGTGTTTAAATGTTTAGCAGTTAGCTAATTGTTTAGTATCATGTATTTAGTTGGAGTGCTTTATTGGTACGTGTACACTTGGCCAAGTGTGCACACACCCAGCAAGACAACTATTGGATATCCTTCACAACTGCCTTACCTTTTTTAAAAGATAATGTATTAAAAAAAAAAAAAAAGTGTTGATCCTTCTCCTTTTATCACGTTTCTGTCTGAAATAACTATCATATCTTCCTTCAGCTTTCAGCCAGTACTTTCTCTTTTGTTTGGAAAGGGTACTTTTGAACGATGTAACATTGCTGATTCACTATATTAATGAAGTTCTTTTTTCAGAATTGTTCAGCATCTCAGTCTAGAGTGTAGAATGAAAGTACTATTTGGGTTCTACTGGGTGACTAGCATGTTACCAGTAAATGGAATTTTTCTGATATCTTGTTAATTAATACAGACCTGGGACATCAACAAAATAAGTACTAACTTGAATTTCTATATGGGAGAAAAGTTTAAACAGCCATCCTGATTTACCTATGACTGTCCCTCATTTGATTTGACAGAAAGGTTTAACATCTCCAAATGTAACGATTGTCTCAGCATTGTATGACCTGGCAGTGGAGAAGAAGGAAGAAAATGTGTCCTAAAGTTTCTATTGATTTCAAGTGAAATACGTTAGCTAATATTCCAAGAGAAATTGAATTTCATAGTGTGCCACTGTGGTACACGCAATCTAAATCCCCTCTTGTCTGCATAAAGGAACTCCACATTCATTAGGTGAACTTGGTGCAACAGTAGTTCAAAAGCTTTTGTTTGTTTATTTGTTTTCTCTTTCTTGGGCTTATTAATTTCTTTGAAGTGTTAGTTATTATCTTATGTTTTTAGAAAGGTTGACTCTTATTAATCGCATGTATCTTTAAAAGGGTATTTGCAACTCCAGCCTTGTATTGGAAGAGCCATCTTCGATTGTCCAGTTGGATTACAACCAGAAAGTGCTGCTTGTCTCTACTTTACAACGGACTCTGCTTTTTTATACAGAAGAGAAATCTGTCAAGCAAGTTGGAACACAGCCCAGAAAAAAGTAACCCTCATAAAATCTTGATGCAGGCACATCTATTAATTCTAGCTTTTCAGAGTGGATTACAGAAAGAGTGATCTAAGCAGTGAAATTAATACAACACAGCAATCCGCTCATAAAAAGTTAATTACAGTAGCTATGTGTGCTCAAACATGAAATGACAATTCTACCTACTTAGAAAGTACATGGTTGCAGAAATGTTACAATCAGATTTTCAGGGCACTATGATGCAAAAATATTTAAGATGTTTTCTCATTGTTTAAACTGAAATCACTGCCAAACTTCATCTGCAGTCCCTCTTGGTTTACTGATACTTGGTGTGAGCAAGTGTTGTAATCAGGTTCATCTAATGGGTCATGTAATATCTGATGCAAAAAGCAAGTCAGTGTCCCAACTTTTCTTATACACTGAAGTGAATTAAAAGGGAAAATGTATAGCAAGCACTTAAAGTTGACTTGAAGGCTAGGAACTTCTTGTATGACCTTCTGGCATCTTCTATTGTGTAATCTTTCTCGGATATGAAGGAAGAGGGAACCCAGTCTTAGAACAGCATGACTGTATCTGGAAGTAGAGGAAACTGACTCTTGAAAGAAGGTTTGTAATGTATCTTTCAGGGATGTGAGTAGTAAGAGGAATACCAAGGACCATCTTATGTACAAGGGCTTTTCTTGGGTGATAATAGTGGTGGGGTTTATGCATGAGAGATGACGATTTTAACAATTGAGGTCTGTTCCTTCCTTCTTGCAAGCAGAGGTTGTCAGTTTCTTAGCATTAGTTTGTAGTGTTTTGCTTATTTTTTATTAATTCTGGGAGAAGGATAACTGCATAGTAGGATCTTTCTGAGATGGACAGAGAGTACCATTAAAGCTATGAAGCTTAGGAGGAGGAGTCATTTAACTTGCCTAGTAGTTGTAGTGTCTGGCATCTAAAGCTGAGGGAAAACTGTTGTTATTTGGAAGCACTGTTCTTGTCTTACTGTAACCAAATTCAGACATTTGACTGAATACTTTAATCAAAGAACAATACTTTTGTTTCTGATAATTTGCAGTTGTAAATTTGTGCCATTAGTTTTAGAAGTCGTTTCTAAGTTGAGTATGTAGCTTTTAAAATAAATTCTTCTTTTGCATTTTAGCACTGGCAAATTTGGAGCGTGTTTTATACCTGGCCTATGTAAACAGAGTGACCTGACGTTATTTGCTGCCAGACCTGGGCTTCGTCTCTGGAAGTCTGATGTTCACGGAACTGTTCAGGCCACATTCATATTTAAAGATGTATTTGCTGGAGGAATAAAAACTTTTGAATTGTATCCTCGTTTGGAACCACCTGACAGAGGAAGTTACAGCTCCCCAGAGAAACACCTTGGGCTTGTTTCGTGCTTTTTCCGAGAAGGATGGGTGCTGACCTGGAATGAATACAGCATCTACTTACTAGACACTGTGAACCAGGTAGATAAATCTTGTGGGTGCATATTTTGTTTCTTACTTGTTTTTGTTCATGCTATGCCATGAGACTCTCTTTGGGTTATCCGTTACACTTCTATGATGTAAATCCATATTTAAACCTTACAAAGAAGGCTTTATTCTCTCCCTCTTCAAGTTGTCATTGCAATGATATACTTGCAAACTAGCTCGATATAGTGTATATAAAAATTAAATATATGCAAAGTTTTCAGTCCAGGTGTTAACATCGTAATCAATTCTGATACTTAGCAAAGCATATATAAATCTAAAATGTTGTAATTAATGCAAAAGGAAGTTTTAGGCCTATAAAATGTGGCTGGAACTATTTATTCTTTCCCTTCTACTACTGTAGGTGCCTGCAAAAACCAAAGTATTACATTTTATTCGGTATAGAGTGAGCTGTTAGCTATTTGTCGTCTTCAAAGTGCGCATGAAAGTGAATACAAGCTATTATCTTTCTGTCTAAATGGCATTAAACATTTGTATTGTGGCTCTTTTCTGCCACCAAATTGTATATTGTTTAAGTTGTTATATTGTTGCCGCTAGTTTGGACAGAGAAAATGAATAGATCTATGGAATTAAAATTAGTATAAAAATGAGCTGCATAATGATTAAAGGGTGCTTTGCTGTTTCTTTTTTCTTTTTTCTTTCTTTTTGATAAGATAAAATCTTTATTCTGTAACTATATATGCTGATTAAATTATTCCAGTGAACACTTTTGTAAGAGCAGCATCTTGTCCAAATAGTCTGTTAATCTGATGCCAATTATTTCTTTTTGTGTTGACTCTTTATAGGCTTTGATTGGTGGCTTGGAAGGATGTGGTGATATTGTGTCTGTGTCCTGTACCAACAATGAGATTTTTCTCTTAAAGGGAGACAGAGACATAATAAGAATTTCAAGTAGACCTGAAGGACTGTCATCAATAGGTTTGTATAGATTAGCAAACTATAGTATGTACCTCATGGAACATGGTGCCTATTGTACTTTTTTAATATTAAAAAAACCCAACCCCAACCCAAAACAAACCAAACCCCACACAAAAACCTTCAGGTTATTGCAAAAACCTACCAGGTTCTGTAGAGTTACTTATTTGTTTCTACAGATTATATTTAGAGATCTGATTTATCTGCTCATCTGAGCTTCTGTTTTGGCGGCAGTGAGAATAGGGACATTAGGAAATTAATTATGGTTCTTTTTGTTTTGAAAGTGGATCAACATTATCATAGCCAGGCATCTTTAATCTGTGCATTTGAGACCTTATTTTAAACCATAATGCTGAAGCAGTCTGGATTCCTGATCATTTACTGATCAGTCTCAATCAAGGTTGGAGATACCTGAATATGTTGATTCTGTGCCAGTGTCACTACCCACATTCCAGAGGAAATCTTAGCCTTCCCAGCAATGAAAAAGAACGAACTGGCAAAAAACCCAAAGAATACTCACTAAAATTCCAAGAAGAATTGAGAGTTTATTTTCTTATTTGTTGCCATCCGAGTTCAGCATCTATGTTACTAGAACTCTCTAAAAGGGATTAATAATACTTCCTTAGTGATGGTGCTGGCTGATTTCTCAATCATAAAGATTTTAAACACCATTATCCAGCATGTTACACTCACAGAAGGACTACTTATGCATTTAAAATACTCCATCTTAGCTTTGTATTATCAAAATCCTAGTAAATATGCTATGAAGTCTCACTGAATGCTAGAGAACTTAACTTTCTTATCATTGCATATTAGTGATAGCTGTAGTCATTTAAGTAGTTCTTTACTCACAAACTTCTAGGGGGTGTTTATTATTTTAATCTTAACTTCCAAGTATAGTTTGAAAGGAGCCTTCTTGAAGTATATTTTCTTCTAATTAGCACAGGGGTCTATCTGGTAAATTTTCCTTGATTTTTTTCAAGATACTGAATGTTTGAATGAAGAAGTTGAAGATACAGGGTGGCACTTCAGTGTGTGATACAGTTGGGTCTTCCAAGCTAAAGACCTGTACCATTCTTCATACATAAACATAAATTCAGAATTTTGCCAATAGGTGTTTGATACAGGCTTTGGGGTATTGATTTTACTAAAATGATTTCATATAGATTTACTTACATGACGTTTACGTTGTTTGTGTGCATATATATATTTGATATGTTGCGAACTTAGAATATTTTTCCATTGCATAAAGCTTCTTTTCTTTCAATACTCTCCAAGAACTATGCTCCTACTCACTTGACACACTAGTATTTATACATTTATTTTTCTTTTGGTCAGTTTCAGACGTGAATTCAAAATTGCCGAATCCTTTAACAGATATGAGTCCTAAATTGCTGACCCCATTATCAGTAATTGGATCTGTATCATCTAGCCCTTCAGTGGAAACAAATAAAAAAATGATTACTTCCCCTTCAGTTATTGGTGATAAAAATGACTCTTATTCTTTAGTGAAAGATGATCTGGAAACTCCAATGCTAACGGAGAAAAGTTTTGATAGAGTGGGAGACTTGAGCAATGAAACAAGAAAAAGGGGCTGCTCTGTAGTAAGTGAATCAAGAAGCAGGAGCAGTTCAGTAAATTCTGTGGACAGTGGCTCTAGCTTTATGGTATGTGCAGACCAACTTTCAGAAGCTCAGAGAGAAGGTCAACTTTCTTCACAACGGTTCGGCACAATCAGCTCTGAAGATTTTGATCAAGAACTTGTTGTAAAGCCAATTAAAGTGAAAAAGAAAAAAAAGAAGAAACAAGGTAAGTCTACCAGAACTTTCCCTGCCACTGCTTATTATTAGAACATGTCACTTTTGATGTTTCACACAAGAGAGTGTTTGTTTGACATGCTTTGTTTATATTATATTGTCATGCTCTTGAGATATTTGAGAGGTTGTGGTGGGCCATTTATGTTTAAGATGGAAGCCTGTTTTGAAAGTGATAAATCGATTAAGTCCTTTTAGATCTATTTGTTTTATTCTTTTAACTTTGTTTTGCTTTATGTAAACATGCTTAAGGTTCTAATCTATGGGTTAATGGTAACATACAGTGGACTCTGCTTCCAGTTTTATGTTGGAATTGTGTAGTATCTATTCATCCTATTCAGAATATTTGACAGCATCTTTCTTAGCCATGCTTTTTAGTTTGTTAAAATAGTGTGAGTACTTGATTATTCTAATTGTTTACTATATTGGTATTACAACTTTAAAGTGTTTTGCTATTAAGACTTTTTTGGCTTTCTATGTCCCATTTAGTGTTGAAGTTGAAAAAAATCAGTACGTCAAAATTTAGATTTAACTCTGTTCTTCCCCCAGTGATAAAAATATTTTAATTTCTTACTTTGCAGTGAAATGTAGTAGATTTTATTAATATTACCTGCCACCTCCCCACCCCTTTTTTTTTTGTTTTTTTTGTGAGAACAGAAAGTGGGACCAGGAAAAACCACAGCTCTCTGGAAGGCACACCGATTTATGAGCGTCAGCTTTCTGGTGATAGTCCACATTCATTGAATGCAGACTCCTTTTCCATGACTTCCAGCCTAATGAGTGGCAGCATTGATCATTTGAGTACTGGATCTCCAGATCAGGAAAGCATGTTCAGTATGGAGTCCCATACAATCTTGCAAGAAGATAATGGTTCAGAAACTTTCAGTGTCCTACAGTCTCCCGAGTCTGCGACTGTACTAATTAATGAAGAAAATGGAGATATGGTTGATTTACAGAAACTTCCAAACAGTGACAGTGGCATGGGTACTTCAACTGTTATAGATACTTTGACATCTGTCTCTCCTCTAATTCTCACAGAAGACTTGACAAGCAGTGTTGATGGTGAATATAATGGTAGTGTGGTTTCTGCAAGCAATGAATGTTGTCTTGGAAAGCTGAGCCAAGAGGAGGAGCAGGATTTTCCTACATTGTGTAAAATAGATGAAAATTTAGATAAAATGAAGCTGGTGGATACTAAAACATCTTTTGAAGAGCCAGACCTTACAGACCAAGTGTTTTTGGAATGTGACAGTGTACTTGGTGTTCAGACATCACTGATACCAAAGGAAAGTGATGAAAACGTTAGGGAAGACCAACAGCAGCTCTCTCTAATACACAGCGCTCTGTCAGATCCTTCTGTGCTCCACTTTGACTTTTCCAATGATGTTTATTCAGATAACACTTCCATCTCTGGATGGAATTTTGAAAGTGCAATCAAAGCTAAATCTGGTACCAGCACTGCTGAATGGGTAACAGACACTCATGAAAGTAAGACTGAAAAATCTGCCTCGAGTGATGAAGAGGATATTTATGGACATGGATTACCGTGTTCATCCTCGGAGACTAGCATGCCTGAAGTTGGTGCTGGGCCTGGTTCCCAGGATGTGGCCAAGATAAGCCTAGATGAAATGGTGCTGTTAAAATCTGATCAGGTATATGTTTTCAATTTAGTTAAAATACTTAATTGCGGCTTTTCAAAAGAAACATTCACATAATTACTATCATTTACTTTAGGAAAGCAATTTTTTTCTTACTTGATTCGAGTGTGTAAAGCATAATGCCAAACAGCAATATGTGTTGTAACTCTTATGAAATGTGATGTATCAGACTTCAGAATGGTTGATATGTGCTTGCAATGTGAAGAAGCTGCACTGGCTGTATTATTCCCAGCTCAACAAAAATGCTGTCATAAACCCATCCATTTAAGAGTGAACAGTAAAACCAAGTCAGGCTCCAAGGCTGCTCCTTGTTTGGGTCTCCAGTAGCCCAAATTCTGCATGATGCTGTTCCCAACTTCAACTGACTTCACGGGGAATTAATGCTGATTATCTCACATGGCTGGCCTCTGGTTAAGGATCGTTTTACCTGTAAATACTCAGAATAAGGATTAGTCTTTCTTTGTGTCCTAGACAGCAGTTAGTACTATCTAAAATGTTGACATTTCTCCTTTTTCTGTCACCCCTCTTTCCTTCATTGTTATTTTGTGGGTGAACATTTCCAGAAATAGTAATTCTCAATAGACTATAGAAAAGCAGTACTAAAATTAATTGTAAAATCTGCAAAATTGCCAAAATCACTGGCAGTTCTAGCAGAAGTCTTAAGAAGGAGATACAGTTCTTCTAGGTTGGGGGTTTTGGTTTTTTTTTTAAATCTATAGCAGCCTTGTATTGAGATCAACCAAATATTTGTTGATAAAGGTTGAGTTACAAGTTGTGTCCTATTTAGTAACAACTGCAGCCCAAAGTGTAGAAGACTTCTAGTTTCAGGTTATGATATTCTTACACTCTGGAATGTTTGGTAGAGCTCCACAGATGCTTCCATTATAGGTCATGCATGCACTGCTTGAGTTCATCTCATGCAAGCTATCAAAATTTAAGATAGCAGTCTGTAAACCAAGTTTCTGCAATACATGGCTCCTTGTACCGTACAGGGAGTATCGGAGTTGGGTATCTAGCTATCTCTGCACTCCAGCTATCTTGTTCCCTTTGCTGATCCCTTCATAGACAATAAATAATTTCCTGGATTACAGACAGACTGTACATTTTTTGTATTCCTTTTTGCATCTGCCATTTTCTCTAAGTATGTGTTCTTTAATTAATAAGAGAAGATTTTCCACTTTTTGGAGGTAGATGACAGTGTGGAGGGTTTGGGTGGCTTTTTTTGCTAAAGCTTTTGTTCTAGTAGTCTTACTTCGCAGTACGTACTATCTTAGAGAACATGGACAGATGTAGTTTTATTTTACACAAGGCAAATTTATTCATTGATTAGGGTACTTAAGAACCTTAAGTTTAGCTTTTTTTTAACCAAAATATGGGAGCTGCTTACATAGCCGTTTTCTTGTGCGGTTTGAAGACGCCTGACACTGTTCTGACTCTACAGTTCTTAGTTTGCAGAGAGCTGGATGGGATATGCTGGCCCTGGTTATGGCATCCTGAGCCTGGTGGTCTCGGAGAAGTACGTCTGGTGCCTGGACTACCGCGGCAGCCTGTACTGCAGCGCACTGCCCGCCGCCGGCCTGCGCTGGCAGAAGTTCGAGGACGGCGTCCAACAGGTGGCGGTTTCCCCCTCAGGTGGGTCGGCTTCTGCGTCACTGTGACCTCCTAAACGCAAAACTCCCGTAGGCTGGTGCGTTGTCTTTGCTTTTCTTACTTTTCGAATAATGGTGATTATTTAATTAGGTGAAACTTGTCATTTTTCTGAGAGTACAAACACAGTTCAGTGCATATGTAATTTCCACGTAGACAACTTACTGTTTTTTTTAATACAGTACTTCCAGAAACTTGGTTGTTTGGGACTTGTTTCATGTAAAAGTAGTGCGGTGGGTTGGGTTTTTTTTGTTTTGTGGGTTTTTTGTTGGGTTTTTGTGTGGTTTTTTTTTTTTTTTTTTTTTTTTTTTTAAAGTCATATTGGGTGATATGACTGCGTCTTCGCTACCTCTGCATACAATGTTCTAGTTTAAGTGGCTGTCTTTCTAACAGGTTCACGTCGCATTTTGGGAAGTTTTCAACATGCGGCTGCCTGATTAAAGTGAACTTCAGAAGTAGCAGTTCAGTGGTAGGCAGAGATGAACGAAGAGGTCCTTGTCTATACAAAACCTTGGGTTTTGATACAGAGCTGCTTATGATTCCCAAATGTAAAATTCTTTTTGTTGTAAATGTAGAATTGGTTTTGTGTATGGGTTGGTCTGTTGATTTTTTTTTTTTTTTTTTTTTTTAATACTAAAGGAAAAAAAAACCTTTTAATTTTTGGTGTATTTGCATGTGAGTTTGTTCTGGATGGTTAGGAATGAGGATTATATTGATTAAAATTAAATGGGTTTTGGTTATAAACTTGCGTCACTTTTGGCCTTCCAGATTGTTCCAAGACTGGTGTGAAAATACAAGTTTCTCAGACATTTTCTTTAGTCTCCTGCCTTGCCACTACTTTTCTTCCTCTGTCATCTCTAAAAGCAGATGTCAATCTTCCCTTCTCTTTGTAAGGGAAGATTTGCTATCTGTTTTAAGAAAGGTGTTTTATTTGATCTGTAGCTGAGCTTTGTTATGGACAAAAAAATTTAAGAGTGGCTGTACTAGGTGAGATCATAGGTTCATCCAGCTCAGTATCTTGCCCTTAACAGTGGTCAAAAGCAGATGCCTGCAGAAAAGTGAAAGGAATGGGCTAGCACATATGATGTTTGCCCTTGGTAGTTTCAGACTGCAGTTGTTGGTGGCTCAGAGATTTCCTGGGCAAAAGGTTGTTTCTCTGTGTTTATTATCCCTCAATTCCAGGAACTCGCCCTGTTTTTCATTGAATCCATACAAATTTCTAGCATACACAGTTTCCCGTGGATGTATTAACACAAGAGCATGTTAACCACAAATGTCAAAATGGAATCAAATGCTACTTTGTGGAATTATTCAAAGGAAGTTAATGTGACAATGTACTGCTCTGGTACAAACGAGCATGGATGCCAATCAGCAGTTAAGTTTGGAATTCTCTTTGGTTTTCTTCTTCTCAGCTATCCTTGCTAATTTGAGTGAGGGGAAAAAGTTCTCAAGATGGATTTGTGCAGTTGCATTTCTGAGTTTTGTCTGCTCGTCACATGCTACCTAGCGAGCAGATAATAGCACTGCCCACTGTAGTGTGGGACGGCACACCTTTTAAGGTGTTTGTTGCTCATGACTGGTCCACAAAAGTTATGATTGACCTTACTAATACTACTAAAAGGTAGTAGTGAAAGGTGAAAGTACTACAATTAACCTCTTTTCCTTTATGTGCTGAGGATGTACCAAACAAGTAGAGGAGCAAGCCATGAACTTCAGTCTCTTAATAGTAGGCATCTTTGGCCCTGACATGGAACTGTTGTTTGTTTTCAGTGTATAACTAAGGAGAAGTGACTTGCATTTGAACATTTAAAAATTGCACATACTCTAATGGTAAATGTATTTCAGCAATTCCTAGAGAAGTTGGCCACTGTTCTGGTCTTGCTTTTTAAAAAAAATTATAAGCGTTTTTAAATCTTGCATTTTTGTTTAATGCTACTGGTTTGCCTTTCACCTCATGCTAGTTTAGATGTAGGTAGGACAAGTCACCTGTCTCTGCTACAGTAATTGCTAAGTGATACTATGTTCTTTCTTAACTCCTCATACAGGGGCTCTTCTCTGGAAGGTTGAACAGAAGACTAACAAAGCATTTGCTTGTGGAAAAGTAACTATAAAAGGAAAACGCCACTGGTATGAGGCTTTACCCCAGGCTGTATTTGTAGCTTTAAGTGATGACACTGCCTGGATTATCAGAACAAATGGAGATCTGTATCTGCAAACAGGTACCTGAATTAATTGCAGGCTCTTTGAATTTTTGCGGGCTAAGATTATTAGAGTTCAAGTCTATGGAATGATCACAATTTATTTTAAACTTTTATCCACAGCCAGGACATAGGGACACCTTTTTATCCTGAGAAATGGTTGGAAAGAGTTTTGAGATTCTGTGTAATTAGGAGGCTGGAAAAGCCAGTTCATAGCCACTTATTTTTTGTGCCATGTGGAGTATGTACAGTATAGAGAATTTATGATGTGGGAGGGATATGGGATGAATGCAGATAAATAGAAAAGGATTGCAGAAAATGCTGAAATAATATCCTTGCCTTGAAAATGGTATGGTGCAGTGAAACAACTGAGCCTTAAGTGGGTTTTCTTTTCTTGCTTTAAGGATTTTAGCAAAGTTTTAAGGACTTTGAAAGGTGATGAGATAGTGCGTGGCTGTTCAGAAGAGATTCAGGTATGGTGGGCAGAGTAGGGGAAAGTAGAAGCTGTTTGTTTTGAAAAGCACAGATCTGTTGGAGGTGAGAGTTACCACTTGATAATGAAAGGAAGGTATTCCGAGACAGAAGATCATAAAGTGCTTTGGAAGTATAGGCAAGTGATATGTATTTTATGTGATAGAGAAAGCAAAGCCAGTGGAGGAATGGAACGGGCTGTGGAGCAGCAATCTTTACAGCTGCCTTCTCACTGGATGTGAATGAGGCAAGAATCAGAAAAAGGGATAGTGTAGTGGCAACTTTGAAGTCATGGCCTTAGTTTTGTCTGCTTCAGTGAATAGAAGAGGATGCATTTGGAAGGTGTTATGCAGAGAACATTCAGGCAAAATACAGGGAGCTGGGATGAAGGATGGAGCTCCAAGTTTTGGAGTTAAGGGAGAAGAGTATCAAGGACTCTTTGGCATGCGGGCTTTGCACAGAGAGCTGAGTTGGTAAGGAAAAATGACAAATAACATGATGAAGGAATTACTGGAAAAGTAAGAGGAGGACTGGGTAAGGGGGAAACAGTAAGACACACAAAAGCATGACAACATTTCAGAGTGGCTATCAAAATTCTTATTTATCTTCCATTTAATTCTGGTACTCTCCTAATTTCTTTTGTAGATTGAATTGCTGTAGCACAAAATTCATCATGATTAAGCAAGCTGTTTAAGTACACAGCATTGTTTCAAAGAATCTCTACTCTTAAACTTAATTAAAAGAAAATAATTTAGTAGTTACAGAGAAATCAAGTGGCCTGCCCAAGGTCACATGCATATTGTCAATGAGCATGGATAGTGGTGATAAAGAGTGAACTCTTCATGCCAATCTCCCTGCGAGAGATTGGTTTGATTACATCAGCTTACATTCCGCTGTTCTTCTGTTTCTAGATGTGTCTTTGATGCCAAAAATAGATTCTTAGTATATCTGTCTTGTTAATGATAGTTATTTCTCCAGGATCTTTTAATTCCCTCCACTGTCCTGTCTAACATCTGTAACAAAAGTGTGTGCTCAGAGGTTTGGAAATGAGCATTCTTCTTGTTATTTTAGAATATCATATAGATAAGTCTGTTCATACTTGCTTTGGCAGCATGAGAAGATTAAGCAAAAGCTATGTCTCTTGAGGTGTTTCACGTGCAGCCATACAAATCAAGCTTCAGTGTAATTGTGAAAAAGACATGTTCCTCTAGATTCTATGTATAAATGTGTGCAAACTACCTGTAAATCTACCAGAACCTCTCTCCTTCTTTCAGTACTACACACTGTGGCATGCTCTTTTGTAATAGCTCTGCTGCCATTATTCAGATAAGGTTGCCTCTCTCCCTGGCATATTTTGGGCAAAAGTTCTTCCATTACTGCTTTCTTCTTTGATGCTTCTGTCAAGTCTAGTACAGGTTTTATCAGTGGAGTTTCCTGATATTGACACTAGAGGGAGAAAAGGAACAGAAATGACAGGACAGGACTTGTGCGCTCTGCAGGATGTTGAAGGGGATACACAGTGTTTTATTTCTTAAAATACAAATTCAGCTATATTAGAGGAAATAATTAATAGTTTATAGAAAGAACAGTCAGTCAAGGAAATAGTGATCAAAGGAAAAGTGTTAACATGTCAGGGATATTCCCCTCCTTATTTTCTTTTGTTGGGTAGCTTTGTCTCTTTTCTTTTAGTTGCAAAAAGCCAAAGTTTGTAAAGCAATCCTCCTTTTTTGATTTCTAGGCCTGAGTGTGGATCGTCCTTGTGCCCGAGCAGTAAAGGTTGACTGCCCTTATCCACTGTCGCAGGTTACATCCAGAAATAATGTTGTGTGGGCATTGAGTGAGCAGCGGGCCCTGCTATACCGGGAGGGAGTACGCAGCTTTTGTCCTGAAGGAGAACAATGGAAGAGTGATATTGTCAGGTAATGACAGTGTGGTGGGACAGTGTCATAACCAGAATGACACAAATAATTGTTTGCAGTGTTGGAATTCCTTGATGTTTGAAAAAGTGTTACCTGAGAGTGTGTGTGTGTGTATCTTTGTCCAGCCATATTCAGACTAACTGGTATTTTTCTGTCTGATGAATAACTGCTATGTAATGAAAGAAATAGCCGTAAACAGAAGTGGTGACACAGTTAAAGCGAGTTTAAGAAAGTGAGAAAAATTTTTAAAAGATCTTTATAATGTCTGTCGATATGACTTTTTTTGATTAAATAGTATTTCTTTAATCTTTGTCATAATGGCTTTAATAACCTGTCCAGATATTTGAGTGAATTTTTTCTGGGATTAAATCTCAGCATTTTCTTGGTCGTCCACACAGCTGGATAATACTTTTCCACTTCCCAGTCACAGATTTTTATAAATATTCTGGGTAATTGGTATTTAGCTTTGTAGTTGATCCTACGCTCATGGTAGTTAGTTTGTGATAAAGTTAAAAGCACTGAGTGTTTACTGCTGGCTTTGAGAATGTAGAATGTAGTCTCTCTTGTGACATCAGCCTGAAGCAAGTATAGGAAGAAATTCCAGTTCTTGTCGTCATATGATTTTACCTTCTACTGAATATCCTATTGTGAAGCTTTAACTTGTGTTACCTCCCAACCTGGTATTTGGCTCTTGAAGAGCCTAAGGAAATATTCAGTGTCTTGTTCAAATCTGAAATTTGCATCTACTTTAATTAGTTTATTTAATGAAAATACCTGCTTGACCTATGCCTTAAGTACACTTAACGTTCTTGGGCTTTGTATTAAAACTGCAGAAAACAATCTGTATTTGTTCTTAAATTGTAGAGAAATTTTCTTTGAAAGAAATAGCATTGTTGGCTACCTTTTAAATGTCTGATATGATCACCTGATCTTGTTGACTTTCTAAGCTTGAAAATTGTTTACTTATACAGGACACTTATAGTCCTAAACTCAACATTTATCTTTGCCATATAGTTAGATTGAGTTTTCTATTTATGATCCCTGAATTGCTAGTATTGTTCTCAGAATAGGTCAAGGAAGTTGGAGGAGATACATTTATGAAGCTGCTTTATCAAAAACTTAAAGAACACAGCTCTCTCTATTTCTTATTTTCTGAACAAAATAGTTTTTGTTTAGTTTTATTGTTATGTATCCAAGTTTCAAATCTCGAGTGATCTTTGAAGGACTCATTTTTTGTTGTTTAATGGTTTTTACTTATGCAAACTAATAAAATTTGAATTACTGAATAACTGTGAAAATTTGAAATCAAATGTGTTTTTGAACTTGGCCACACTGAGTTCGATCATTTTGAACTGCTGTTAGCGTTTTAACAGCTTCCTTAAAATGCCGTAAGCGTAAATTTGAAGTAAGGTTTTTAATTTTTTTACGTGTTTGCATTTCCAGTGAAATGCAAGCTTTGGAACCAGTGTGCATAACCCTTGGAGATCAGCAGACATTATGGGCTTTGGATATCCATGGAAATCTGTGGTTCAGAACTGGTATAGTTTCAAAGAAACCACAAGGAGATGATAACCATTGGTGGCAAGTAGGCATTTTTTTTATTTTGCTTTCAGTTTAGTCTTCTACCTTGGGTTTATTATTTGCATTGTTTTCCATGAGATTCTAAGATAAAATTCAATGAATTGTTCAATGATATATTACAGGACTATTTATTCAATATATTAAAACTGCAGTGTGGCTACGGCTGAAATCCCTTTTCATGTCTGCTATAAAAAAGGGGGGAAAAAAAAATCCCATGGTCATCTAGAACAGCATCACAGCAGTTTTCAAGAACACAAGAAATGCTCTACCACGTCATATCAATGACGCACGTGGCTTGGTATCTTAACAGTGGCAATAGGACATGCTGTTTAGGCAGAGCGCTCAAGTCTGGCTGCTGAATGCAGTCTCTTCTCTTGTCTTCCAGTACCCATCCTTTTTCTTAGCTAGATGAAATAAATAATAAGTAACCTTGCAAAAATGCTTTTATTATGCATTTTTCCATTCAGTTGAGGTTTCTTCGAGCCATGTGGGGCTGCTTGCTTCAGTTGCAGATCATGTCGGTAAAAACAAAGTTACTGCAAGTACTCCCTGGTATTGATTTGGAATTCCCGACTCTTTTGTTTTCCCCAGCTTTTCTTATTTTCCCCAGAGATAGGTGTTGGGGAGAAGGGGGTACAAAAACAGTTATACAGAAAATTTCTTTGTCTACATGTCTGCCTAAGTTAAAAGAATTTCAGTTTATGTGCATATATAATCTCTTCTTGCATATGGGTGTTATAAATAGCTTGGCTTTGAGGTTACTGGCAAACTGCTTTTCTTTTTGTGCTCTTAAGCATTTCCTTCCTTTCTAGGAGTATCCTAGAGTGTTGCCAACCTAGTTGTCCATGACAGAAGTTGGGCAACTGCATATTTAGACCTCCCCCTGCCTTATGAATTAAAATGCCCTTGAGGTTGTTGTAAAGGAGTATTACATACAAGTTTTTGTGAAGTGATTTAAATTGGTACGCTATGCAAGTTTCTCTCTTCCTTTGGGAAAGTGAAAATTCACCTCTTAGTTTGCAGAGTTCAACATGTTTTTAAGGGGAGAGAATAGTCATCTCAAAACACAGGTCTTTCTTAAAATGCAGAATTCAAAGTGGGTTGTTGGGTAGGAGGGAATTGTAAGCTGATGTTTAATACTGGTTCTGGTTTATTATCAAGACTCTTACTTATTCAAAATGTACCGGTTTTATTTTTCCCTTTCTACACTTAGAAGGTTTCTAAACTCTTGGTAGATTTCCTACATAAAGCACACACACACACAAAAAAGATTCTGCAGTTCACCCAAAAGCTTAACTAATTAAGCTTTTTTCTTTCTCCCCCCAGGTAAGCATCACTGATTATGTAGTGTTCGACCAGTGCAGCTTGTTTCAGACAATAATCCAGGCAACTCATACAGTGGCAACAGCAGCTCAGGCACCTGTGGAGAAGGTGGCTGATAAACTTCGAATGGCATTTTGGTCACAGCAGCTTCAATGTCAACCCAGCCTCCTTGGGGTTAATGGCAGTGGAGTCTGGATCTCTTCAGGCAAAAATGAAGTCCATGTGGCAAAGGGAAACTTAATAGGTTGGTGTGCTTTTACATCTAATATCTTTAAGTTAAGAAACATAAATAGGAGAAAGTAACTAACTACAGTTCTGTCACCACAGAAATTATCCATGGTGAGTTAGGGCAGCTTTAACAAACAATTCCATGTTTAAAAATCAAATTAAATGATTCCTTAGCATTTGGTCTTAAATACTTTTGTGTTTAAAGGGAAATATTTTTCGTGGAAAATCCATTGTCCACAAGTGAACTGTGCACGTGTTACTCCTTTTAGTACCTACACTTGTCTCTTCTCTGGGGTGAGAAGGCAATCTTAAGCTACTGTACCTGTTATATCTAGCACAATGGAATCTGGTTCATGATCGGTGTGACTATGCAAAACAGTAATGTTATGGTTTTACAGTGATAATAGAGGAATTGCTTTATTTATTTTTCTTGCTATATTTCTCAAAGTATAATTTTGATTTAGTACATTTCTTTGATCAGGTAAACTAAGAATGGACCTAGAACATTGTCTGTTTAACTTTGTCACCAAATTGGTCTCCTGTTGAAGACCATTAGAATCATAGAATCATTAAGGTTGG